GTGAGCTTTGAGAATTACCTAAAGTAATGTAACATGTATTGTTACTGGACTTTAAACAATAATTTTACGCTTATTACTATTGTCGACTTTATCAATAAAATTTTAATTTATTTTGTAGGTTGGTGTATATTTCTATGACAACGGGCACGGTGTGTTGGAAGACAATGACATCTACAATCACATGTACTCTGGTGTACAAATAAGGTAACAACTGCCCCCTTCCATCACTGTATCCACTGAACATGCGGTACATGAGACTCTACGCAAAAGCTTTAACACATTATGTTTTTTCTGGTTTTCTTTTTCCACTCTGTGAATGATTCAAATAACCTTTTGTTGAATCTTGACAGGACGGGGAGCAACCCAAAGATCAGGCGCAACAAGATATGGGGCGGCCAAAATGGAGGAATTTTAGTCTACAACTCAGGTTGGTGTATTAATCTATCAATTTGTCTCTCATATGTGGTGCCTGTGCACTTCCGTTACCTAATCTTGCTGTGTGATGTAACAGGTCTGGGCTTCATCGAGGACAATGAAATCTTTGACAATGCCATGGCCGGGGTGTGGATCAAGACGGACAGCAACCCCACACTGAGAAGAAATAAGATTCACGATGGCAGAGATGGAGGCATCTGCATTTTCAATGGAGGCAGAGGTACAGTAGAGTCTGACGTCTTCAACAAGGCAAACAGCCTGAAAATTCAGAGAGCATCACATAGCTTCAGAATATTTCCTCCTGTTGGGTCAATATATGTTTGAAACCTGATGGTACATCAACATACTGTTTAACTTTAGCGCTTAGATTGATACTAGAATTATGGCATCTTTTTTCCTGTTACCTTGGTGGTTGTTCCTTGTGATTTTGCTCCTGTATATTGATAGTTACTTTTTCCCTGTAGGTCTGCTGGAAGAGAATGACATCTTCAGGAACGCTCAGGCCGGTGTGCTGATCAGCACCAACAGCCATCCGATTCTCCGCAAGAACCGCATTTTTGACGGCTTCGCTGCCGGTTAGAGTTCAAAATCAGCTCCATATGAGCACAAATAATGTCACCCTTTTATATCTGCTTTCGGTGCTGATGGCAGACTTCTTTTTCTTCCACAGGTATTGAAATTACTAACCACGCCACAGCCACGCTTGAGGGAAACCAGATCTTCAACAATCGCTTTGGAGGCCTGTTTCTGGCCTCTGGGGTCAACGTCACCATGAAAGGTAAGTAGCTGCGCCGTGGGATTTAAAGTTTAGCCCAGTCTGGTCTGTGTTTGCTCTCTGACTGCCCTCACCTGATCATTTTCTGTTCCTCCTCTGTCAGATAATAAGATTCTGAATAACCAGGATGCCATTGAGAAGGCGGTGAGCAGAGGACAGTGTCTCTACAAGATCTCCAGCTACACCAGTTACCCCATGCACGACTTCTACAGGTAAACTGCATCACATAAAAGGTTCAGATTAAAACTGGTTATGGCTGCAACTAAGGATTATTTTCATTATGGATTAGTAGATAACTGATTTCTAAGCAACAATGCCAAACATGAGCTAGTTCCACCATCTAGGTCAGTATCATGTTTTGGTTTCGGACAACACAAGAAGTTTGAAGATGTCACTTTGGGCTTTAGATGGACAAAGTATCGCCCAAAGTATTAATCTGATTAATTGAGAAATTCATCTGAAAATTAATCAGCAAATTAGCCTTAATGAAAATAATGGTTTGTTGCAACCCCACATTTAAGAAACTGTTAATTTAAGAAATGGTTGAATGTCTCATTTAACCATGTGTCTTTATATTTATTTAGCCTCATTGTGTTATATAAATGAATCTGTTTTGTCTCTGCAGATGTCACACCTGTAATACAACAGATAGGAACGCCATCTGTGTTAACTGCATCAAAAAATGCCACCAGGGGCATGATGTAGAGTTTATACGGCACGATCGGTACGAGTCTTTTAGTTCCTTCCTGAAATTTTGTTTTAATGACAACTATTTATTTTGCAGTTTTTTTTTTTTTTATTTTTTATTTTTTTTATATGAATTGAAAGAAAACAGTGAAAATCATATATTTCAATCTGAAAAAGTAACCACTCTATTGCTACTGTTGTATACTTGAAGGGACTCTTCTTAATCCTTGGTATCTGCTCCTCTCAGGTTTTTTTGTGACTGCGGAGCAGGAACGTTGTCCAACCCGTGCACGCTGGCCGGAGAGCCCACACACGACACAGACACTCTGTATGACTCGGCGCCGCCCATCGAGTCCAACACACTGCAACATAACTGAAGGCATCCGGTCGAGTTACACTCTCCTCACATAAGCATACAAACACATTACATTGCACACATCCACACACACACATACACACTTAAACACACACACACACTTAAACACACACAGTCACATACACACATCCACTTGCAGCCATAAGGACCCAGAGAGACTCTATGAATGCGGCGCTCTCAGACGGGATCGAGGTGAAAGAGGCTGCAGAGGAAGCAGCTTCCTGCCCGCTGCAGTCAGACTCGCTGCAGCGGAGGCAGACTCCACTAGAGGGAGCAGTGGAGCTGAGGGTAGACTGACAGAAAGGCCACAAGAGATTCCTCACTTGAGTATTTCTTATTGCAGTCTGTAGACAGAAGATGGGAGGAGAAGGGCTATGCAGAGGGGCTGTCGATGGCGGCTTGCGCCCCCTTTGGCAGCACACGAAGACCCCACCCCCACCCCCCCCACCTGGTGTAAATCCTCGGCTCCCAGCCCACTTCTTCTTCACAAGAACTGCTGTCAAAGAGACTTCCTGCTTCCTCGCAGCTGCCATTCCCATTGGCTGCCCAGGCGGTTGTAACTAGGCAACGGATGGGAGGATGTTGCTCTGTTGTGTGTGGATAAAGAGCAAGATTGTGTGTGTGTGATGGAGCACTTGGGCTTTTTTTTTTAAAAAATATGTTCTGATCAATGGATTTTATTTCAATGCTTTCTCATGTAGTTTTGTATTTTCAAGCAAAAAGCTGACTGTATTTGAATGTCTTTTATTTTATTATATATTATTATAATTATTATTATTTTTCTTTGGTTAGCGTCCCTTCTCCCACCCCGACACCCAGGCAAACTGCAGAAACTCAAACGTCCCAGTGGTGAAGTTCTTTCTGTGAAAGAGAATCTCGTTTAAACACTAAAAACCCTCTCCAGTATATTAGCTTCAATGGCAGGTGGAGGGGCTCCACAGTTGTATAAAGGTGTGTATGCGCGCGTGTGTGTGCATAAATGTGTGTTGCGTACAGTGAAAGTTTGTGTGTGTGTGTGCGCGTGTGTGTGTGTATGTGTATATGTTTATAAGTTGATGCAGTCAGTGTTTTGTGGAGAGGGTTTCCATAGGAGGCGTCAGAGCTCCTTTGAACTGGAACTGATGAGTCAATCTGCAGTCCCCACCCCACCCCCCACCCCCCTCTCTCCCCCGTGTATCGTGGTGACTGTGGCTCCTCATGCAGCCTGAATCGTATGCATGTACCATAACATCTAGACTTAATATATTGTGAAGTATTCAATAACCATTATGTAGATGCTAGTTGGAATTCAAAAAGGGGTATACTTTCTTAGAAAGACAAAAAAAGAAAACAGGAAACTGGCCATTTCTAAGAAAATAAAACTTTATTAGATCAGAGGTGTCTGTCTTGTAAATTCACTCGCTGTGACGAAATCCACATCCTGCATAATTACCAATAAACACCAGGTCATATTAAAGAAAATGCTGGTTATGTATCCTAAGAGATAATGTTTGGCAGGTGAGTAACTTCCCAAGAAACACTTCACTACTTGCAGCTGCTCTGAGTCGTTCAGGTTGCTGCAGGCCCTCATTAGGGAGCACGCTACAAATTATTAAAATGTACCGATTGGGATCTTCGTTCATCAGAAAGCTGCTACTGAGGAAAAAAAGACCTGCATTATTCATCTGTAACAGCTGGAGATCTTTCTTTTGCAGCATCCATTATAAGTGACCTTTGTCAAATTGTTTTCAATGTTCAGAGGTGAACCGATTAATCATGACTCAAACTGTGCTGTCATCCATAGATGGAGGCAACTGACTCGTGATCTTAATCTATTACTTGTTAAAGTCTTCAAAAGATGCCTATAGATAAGTATCATAACGTCTAATCTTCAGTAGCTGAGGGCTGCATATTCAGAGTTTTGCTGTTTTCAGTGAGTGTGCAACTATTATTGTTAGGGAGTGATTGTTGGGTCTATACAATGTGATTTACAGTACCTAGTGGCTGCAGATAAAAGCAACAGATGAAGATATTTACTGCAGAAAACATTTTTAAGTGTTCAAACTCTCAGAAATTATCAGGCTGTGCATGAAATTATGCATGACATCTCCAACGTGGATTTAAATTTATACAGCAGCCACGAAACCTCTTGGATATGGATATCGTACTGTCGATCAGAGTGGCAGCGAAATAGCAGTAAATCCTCCCTCATGGAGGTTAAAATGGTCAGTTTTTGTTGAAACTGTTAAAGAGGTGTTGATTCAACTGCATGATTATTTAGGGCTGCAGTTTGTGGTGCTGTTGAACTGTAATTTGAATTATTTTTTCCACCCCAGTTATATCAGTGGGGTTGGCTAAATAACAAACACTGTATAATGCAGCACAGCAAAATACAGCCTCCAAAATTATACAGGTGAATCAAAAACCTTTTTAAACTAGTTTCACTAACAACTGAGCACTATAACCTTCATGAAGGCAGGATTTATTGCAGGACTGTTATATTGGACTGCATTAGGTTTAGCTAATAAACTGACAACTGAGTGTGATATATGATTCTGATGTTTTGCCTGCGCACATATAGAAGAAAACAATCAGTCTTTCTTAGAACAAAAATTCTTATTTACATAATTACACACACACACAGTGTATCCAAGCAAATCTGCTGTTCATGAAAAATAGCCATTGCACAGTCACCAAGTCAGAGTCAAAACTAGGTGAGAAAAACAAACACATCACATCCAGGAATAAGTCTTTATTGAAAAACTATACAGTGTGAGCGCTATAGTGTTTGTCTGCAGTACATGAAGTTAATCTTTGTCGAGCACATAATTAAGCTGTTTTTACAGGAACACAGCGTGCGAGGATCTCTGTGACATACGTGTTATTTTTGGTGGCCAGCTCCTGCTTCATCCTCCTGAGCTCTGCCTTCACCTCCTCCTCGCTCATGGTGGCAGCAGGAAGTGACTTTGCTTTCTCCAGGAAGTCCTGGATCAGGTTTTCCCCCACCTAAAGGAGAGAGGCAGGACATCAGTTATACAAAAACAAAATTTTGTGTCTGGCGAGTGTAAACTCTTCAGGAACCCTGAATGGAAACAGCTTTTTCAGTCTCATGACTGTATTTACATTTACACTGTTAACACTGATTAGAGAAGCATGTAATCCTTCAACTGACCTTTAAGTTGAAAAATGTTTTTTGTTCCACTTATTGATAAATTAACAGGAACAATTCTTAGTAAAATATACTTGATGTATTGCGGCTTGTTCCACATGGGATGTGCTAAATGACTATGTCACAAAAATCTAGTACAAACTGTCACACAATTGTTCTAAGCTGCCGGCATGAAAATTGCTTTGGCATTGCACTACGCTCTCTCTCCCGTGGCTGTCTCCCTCTCACAGACAACACACTTCCCCACCTATCCAGAAAACTCTCCTGGCTGTGTGTATGTGTGTGAGACGAAGGTGAGGTGTATGTGCTTTTGTATCTGGAGTGGAGGGAATGAAAGAACGAAAGAAGTGCAGCACCAAAGCGAGTCTATACGTGTTCAGAAACCGTGATTGAAGAGGCTTTAAGCCATACTTAGTGTTTATATGTGGCTTATAAATCCTGCATGAAAAGTGTTACCATTTCCTGTTTCTAATGTCTCTCTCTACAAAACTGTCAACTGTGCAGACAAAATGTGATAAAAATGTGATTATGCATGATCATATGTCAATGTTGTGATAACAGCAGGACAATCTGGTAGAGTCAAAGTCCTACTTGTTTGTCTGTCCGTCGTCTCTTGGCCTCTGGCTCTTCCCCCTTGTCCGACTTCTCTCCTGCAGGATCCTGGAACTCCTCAAGCTCCTCCGCCTTCTCCTTCGCCATGGCAACAACTGCTGGCGGGAAACAAGCCAACTCGGCAACGTGGATACCAAAACTCTGGTCACACACACCTGAACACACAGTTTGGGCCACGTCAGTTTGGAGACTTCTATATACAAAATTATGTTAAAACACTCAAGCATCTTCAAACTACAGACAACTAGTCTAACTGAGGCTGAAACAATTAATCAATAAAACTAATTAATTTTTCTGATAATTAATAGTCAAACAAGTAAAAATATCAAAGATAAATTCTATTTTGCTTCATGGTAAAATGAACTCCTTAGGGTTTTTGGTCTACACAATACAGGCAATCTATGCAAGAAAATAACATTTTTACATTTGACAGACTAAATCTGAATCTATAAATAAATAAACAAATAAAGATGTAACAACTGCAATCACAGTGAAGTTAAAAAAAAAAACATTTGTTCAACCAGTCACAATCAGACCAAATGTCTCACATCTTACATCAACTTTCATTCATGCCAACTGTAACCATGACTGAATGAATTTCCAGCTTTAAATAGGCTACAGCGTTTGAGAAAACAGCAATTAAAGCCCTGAAGTCTTGCATTCTATCCAATAAATTATGCTTATTAAGAGAGTCACAAGAGAAACACTTCAGCCTGTTAGAGGAGAGAAAACTCTCAACCGCACCGAATGCCAGATATTGCAAGAGCAATGTGGCTCTTTGCATAAATGTCTGAATAAAGCTATAAGGAACATGAGAAGTCATCTGTGTCTGAGTAACTAAAAGCCATCACTTTAACAGATAGATGAAGCTTGCAATGTCACACATTTCATGTCTGGAAAGGGAAAAAAACACTTTGTGTGTGCTGTTTGACCTGGTTTGACTCTGTACAGCATGGTGAGTGTGTTGTGGGAGGTCAGGGCCGTGACATGCAGGTTTTGCACAGTGGGCTGCTGCGCCGCCAGCGCCGTCAGCTCGTGGAAGTGTGTGGCGAACAGGCAGAAGCTGCCGATTTTGGAGGCGATGTGTTCACTGATGGCCCAGGCCAGCCCGAAGCCGTCGTACGTGGATGTGCCTCTGCCGAGCTCATCGATGATGATGAGCGATTTCTCTGTGGCCGAGCTGCAGGGACAGTACGGATGATGAGACCAGGCTTGTATCGCTTGTGTTTAGTGAACAAGCTTTGTGTGTACGTGTACCTACCGCAAAATGGCAGCGGTCTCCAGCATCTCCGACATAAAGGTGGACACGCCTTTCACCTGGCAGTCTCCTGCTCCCACCCTGGCCAGGACGCTGTCAATCATGCTAAGCTCCGCCTTCTCGCATGGCACAAAGCAGCCGATCTGAGCCATCAGAGCGATCACACCCACCTGACGGATAAATGTCGACTTGCCGCCCATATTTGGTCCTGCAGATAAATAGAGAGGAGAAGCAGTGATGGTGAGCAACAATGTATATCAACGATACATGAATTTTTAAAAAAAGAAGAAAAAAGTTTGCATCTTCAGAAAGTTGAAACAGACAGATTAAAAACAGAACGATCAAAACTGAAATCAGCAGAGGCTGATATATCCTGAATTTTAGTTCCCAGTATGAGTCAAGTATTTCTGGATCCTGCACTTTCACCTGTGATAATATAGAAGCTCTTTTCTCCCTGGACGAAGGTGATGTCGTTTGGTATGAAGGCGGTGTCTGCGTCTGTCTCCATGCAGGGATGTCTGGCCTGCAGCAGCTCCATACGCCTGCAGCCGTCGGCTAAGAGGCGAGGCCGAACGTACGGCACAGGAGCGGAGACGGATGCCACTGCAAAACTCGCCACTGCGTCCATCTGCGCTATTACGTCGCTCAGAGTCTGGAGGGGGTCCACGTAACCTGGTGGTTCAAACAGTTCCGCACTTCCAATGAATCATCACAGAGAGAGGAGACTTAAGGTCACATAAGCCAAATTCCATTTAATCGAGAGATCGTAATTTCCACGTTGCTCAGACAAGGTTCTTTCTGTTAAATCAATTCCATACTGATGAGACACCGTGAGCAGCATGTGGGGAGATTCCTCACCTGAGGCAATGTTGATGATTTCTTTGACGATAGCATTCTGCGCCTCCTCGTACTCCTCCCTGCTCTTGGTGTACTCCTCATTCAGAGAACTCAGCTTACTGTGGACATGTGAAAGTGCACATGCAAGAGTGCAGACCATCAGCTGACAGGAAGAGTGGGGTTGTCCGAAGCTGACATTAGGTGTGTGACATTGTGTGTGTTACTGTGGTTTCTAAATCTGTGGGAAACACTGGTGACACAGTGACACGGACCTGTTTGTGAAACGCACTCCGTTCTTCTGAACGTCCAGCGTGGTGAATTTCTTGTTGTTCCTCAGACCCTTCTCCTCCTTGCAGGTGACTCTCAGGTAAAAACCCAGCATGGCATTCGACTCCAGCTTCACCGTCTTGCCAGGATCCAGACCTGAAACGCAAAGTTACTACAATGAGCTCAAACCGAAATTCCCAAACACACACAAAAAAAAAAAATATTTGTCAACTTCAGAAATCCATCATCTGAGCAAGCATCTAATCAGATGCGCAGACCAGCTCAACTGACCTCTTGCAATTGGCAACAAAAAGTTGATCAAGTTCCAACCCTCACCTACGGTCATGAGAGATATTTCTGATGTAATGTCACAAGGGTCTAAAACAAACTTATTACTAATCTTCATTTTCACTTAAATCAAATACTAAATATATATCTAAATGAAAAGAAAAAGAATTTCTGGCAATCAAAGATGTATATTTACTCTGCAAATGGGTTTTTTATTGTACCAGTGAAGCCTACACACACACAGCTGATGTACAGTAGCTTACACGCATCTTCTCAAAAATGCACTGGCTAAGTTGATTCTGGAGATACCAGGTGAAAATCATCAACTTTAACTCAAATTAAACATTTTTCTCAACATGATCATTGCTCTCCATCATAAAGTTACTAAAGATAAGTAAACACAATTACCTCAGCTATTAATGACTGAAGGCATAATTAGTGTCCTATTTAGAGATGGCAAACATTCCCTCATTTTTTATCCAACATGAATAAATGTAATAATGTAATCAATTACTTTGGGGTATACAGAGTATATGCAGCTGGTTGTGTAAAAAGCATTAACAATGTGGTGTCAAATTCTTCTGTCCCATTCTAAGAAAATAATGATTAAGTTGTTGTGTGGAAAAACAACAAATGCTCCAAAATTCAATCTTAGCTTTATTTAAACTTAAGTAAAACAACAGACAAAACTGTGTAAATGACTTTTACACACTTTGTTAATAACAACTACAAACAAAATTAAGTTTGTCTTTATTACATCTGTAATGAATAATGCCACTGTTCCGTCTTCCAGTTAACGAAAGACGGCAATCAGCTGATACACTATGTTTAGGGTTTTCTTCTTTAGTTCTCCATTAATTACACTGCAGACATCCAGTCTGATTTTTTTATCCCCTTTGGTAGGAGCAATCTGCAATATTTATCACATTCAAAAAGAATTTGTTTTATTGGATGATTCCATGGTGTTATCGACTGGCTTTGGTATTTTCGTCACACCACATCTTAAAAAAAATCTCATCATCAGATGCACGCGTGCAGTCACCACCTTAAAATACAGTCTCTAACTCTATTGCAGATACAGATCTGACATTAAAAGATAATCTTTTGTGTGTGTGTGTGTGTGTGTGTGTGTGTAATCACACCCACACCTGGCAGCACTGTTCAGCACCGCCTGCATGCTCTTTTCCAGCGCATCCATCTTTTCTCTCAGCTCACTCAACACCGGATCAAACGACGCCTTCACCAGGAATTCGTGGTGGTCGATCTGCACGGAGCAACCAACATGCAAGAAAGGAAACATGTAAGCAACATGCAGCGTTGAGAATATGCAAACACAGAACAATATCCTTCCTTTTTTCACATGTATAGAAATGTGAAAGGTCAGACCTGGTTCATGTCCAGAGTGGTTTCAATCATCTCCTGATACTTGGTGAAGTCATTCAGCAGGTCTCTGAGAGGAGACAGGAACACTGCCTCCAACAGAACCTGGTAGCTACCTGCAACACACACACACACACACACACACCCACACACACACACACACACACACCCACACACACACACACACACACACCCACACACACACACACACACACACACACACTGTCTGTCCATTGTCCATTTAAGCTGTTATGAAACCAATTTGGCAAAAATGGAGCAACACAAAACAAAAAACTACCAGGTATCAGTGACTCTCAGTGATCTAGCCGATCAGAGGGTAAAACTCATATGTGACTGAAGCAATGTTTGTACCAAATGTCATCTAATAAGTCATTACTAATTGGATTTTGAATGGGCTATAACAGCTGAAGACCATGTCGTGTGTTTTCAGCAAAGAACAAGAAAGTGTTTCTCTAGTAAGCGCAGAAAAATTACACTGACTGTGTTACTTCTGCTAAACGGATCCGGCATCTTTGAAGATCAGATCAATCAAAGCTATTTTAAAGAAGGACAACTTCCTAAAATACTGGCATCTGATTGTACAGTAAAACTGTTACTGATTCAACTGCTGCAGGTTTTGTGTGTACCCGAGTATCTCTCCAATGCTGTGATGAGGGCAGGGATATGGCTCAGCGCCGCCTGGTAGAACCTGTAGCAGTCCCCTGGCAGCGTCGCCGTGTGACGGTGGAACTTCTTGGCCAGACGGTGAGATCAGGGAACCCGCGCAGCAAGTCCTCCTGGCAGGTCTGCCTGAGCTCAGAGTCGCACACGAAGCTCTCTCCACCAGGTCCAGCCTAACAACACGGCCAA